CCTTAGTATATTCCTTGAGTAGATTTAGTAAGGGTGCATGACTAGCATATTTATTACATGATATGAGGGACTTCACCCCCTCCGTTTGCGTGACACTTATCTTGATCGACCTTTGGAAGAATTAAGTTATCATTGAGTTGGGGTTAGGTGTATCTTTGACACTTAAGTGATCATTGGTTTGATTGAAACTTGTGATAAGTGTCAAAGACACACTTTTTTTGGGTTCATTTATGGTGAATTCTAAGCTAAAAACAATCCTTTGTGTAGCAATATCGTGCCAATTAGCTATGTTTTGCATTTTACTGTAAATTAACACCACACTTTGTGTTTTATATGTGTTTAAGTAAGCTTCGGCCTTAAACTAACGAGGCAAAGTGGCACAACCGGAGCGAAAGCGGGAAAAGAAGACAAGCCGAGACCAAGCTACGAAGGTCACAAAGCGCGTTGCCGCGTGCGTTGTGGAGAGGCACAAACAGAGCTGATTTCCAGAATGTTCAACTCGTATCACAACGTGCTTTGTGACGCGCGTTGGACGAAATAAGTTCCCAAACAACGAGCGTTGCCCGGGGCATTGAAGGTTGCGTGGAAGAGCTGCGGAAGGGATTGAAAGGGGGGGATAAATAAGAAATTCTAGATCAGATTTGGAGAGGACATTTGGTAGGTTTTTAGAATACTTCGATAGCTTAGCATTATGAGATTGAAGAGAGAGCAATTTGTAGAGAGATATTAATAGATTCAAGCTTGGATTTCTTGGGAGATTCATTGAAGGAAGAGATTGACAAACTCCAAATTCAAGAGATCTTGCAAGGCTTCTTTTATTTCCTAATCTATTTGTTTGGTATTATCTCTACTCTTTTCATTTCTATTTGCTTGGTTAGGTTTACATTTATGAATGCTTTTATGATTTCTATGGCTATTGTAGGCTAGCTTAGCTAGGGTTTGAATTGTGAAAGTGTGTGATGATGATGCTTTTGTGACTTAGTTCTTGAATTAGGGATTGATTGATTGCAATGCTTCTATGTCTTGTTGTTGGGGATTGATTTGTTTGCATCAGAGGAACTTGATCACCTCCTATGGTTGTTTGAGGGATTGACCTATGCTAGGTCAATCCAAGCTCCCATCCTTGGCATTTCCTAGCTCAGGAACCCTACAGGCTTGGCTGGGAAGGAGTTGTAGGCAAGGTATTTGTGGAAAAGTTTAGGTGAGGCCTAAACAAGTCCTAGTAGTATAACTTACGGAAGGAGACAAGCCACTCTCTAGACTTAGCATTTGCATCCTCTTTCCCTACGTCTAATGATTCTATAAGCATCTTAATCCACTAAGCAATTCAACCCTATCTACCTTTCATTTGATTACCACTTGTTAGCATTCATTTTACTAGTTCACTATGACGTTTATCTTTTGTGTGCGCGTGACATGCAGTCAAACAATACCGATGTCTTTACTTTCTGACGTTAGCAACTTAGGGGTAACTCCGAGCAGCCATCCCTTGAGAATGGCATAATCCGGAAATCATCCCAACACAATCAACTCTTACGCTATACCTAGCAAGAGTGAAGTAGCGAAAAACGCGATAATCAATTCTTTCCAACTTTTCTATTCGTACTATAGTTCTACATTAAAATTCATATTCTAATATTTTAAAATAGTGTAATACAATTCCTAATAAAATATATTTTTCCTACTTTTCTATTCGTACGATAATTCCATTTCAAAATTCCTATTTGTAATACAATAGGACAATATTAAAACACTTTTATAATATGACAATACAAATACTAGAAATAGGAAGCAACATATATTATAAGTATTGTTAATTTTATCGTTATTATAATATATATAATATTATTCCTTTTCCTGTTAAAAATTATATTCTCCATTAATTCTCTGTTAAATTTACTAAATTTCAAACTCCCATTAAAACTCAACTGCACGTCTAAATTATTAAGATTAAAATAAAAAAAAAAGAATCCTAAAAAACATGCATGCTTAATTCCTAGTTAAAATCAAACTCAATCTCCCAGCTCCATGATGTACTCAAACACTCCTAAATCACCTATAAATATAGCCCAAAACCTAGCACTCCATCACCAAGACTAAAACAGAAGATTGAGGAAGAGCAATTTGGAGCTTGGCTTTACAATTTGGAGCATCCCATTCTATTAACATTAGTTTCCTTTTTTGGTGATTATGCAATTTATGTTTCTTTAATGTTGCAGTATAAAATGCTATATCATGTTTTAGTTTCCTTTTATATTTATTTATTAACTGTTTTATATTATAGTTTTTTTAAGGAAACTGGGATATATTAAATCAACATCGAAATACAATCAGGTGGGTGAGTAATCCACACCCCAAGGAAAGAAGAGGAACCAGCAGCTTGTCTGAGCACATGAGCCATGTGATTCGCTGGCTTTTTTTCATGGCCTCGCTAGTCTTTAATTGGCACAGCTTAGCATCATGAAGTTCTTCTATGCATGGCGTACTCAGAGGTCCATTGTTTGCATCTGCCACCACAACTGACCTCAAACTAACGTATCTTTACCGCCTCCCACCCGCCGAATAGCTCCTCTTCGCAATAACCCTTGACCCGCGTGAATGCTCCTCCATAGATAGCTACGGTTGTGGCCAATGTTCGCCCCTAGGAAACTAGCATTGGGAAAATACCTCGCTTTCAGAATTTGGCACATCAACGAATCGAACAGGGTCTTGTGAGGATCCGCCAGCCTTGAATTTTCACATATTGTAGAAAGTATTCCACCCAGGCAGTGGTGATCATCGTTCTCAATTTTATTGGGTAATAACATATTAATAGTTTCAATCTTTCTTAAAAATCTTATTTCAATATGTAACTAATTTCTTTTATTATTAGGTTGATGTTGAGGCATAGTGCTGGATTGAAGAATAAAGTGATGACTTAGAAGCGTTCAAGTATTGTGTAGCTTTTTCCTCTTTTATATGTATCACATTTTACAATAGGTTTCAAGTATTATGTAATATACAAATATGCTTTTCTCAAGTGTATTAAGATTGATTCTATTATTTTGAACAATAATATTTAGGGAATTGTGTTCTTCGATCTCCAGTACACTAAAAAATTTATTCTATTGGATTCAAATAACTTAATAACTTAATGTATCAATAGATTGGCAATGGTGAAGTTGTGGGTGATAGTTCAGTGGTAAAGAGACCCCTTGTGAGTGAGTTCTCATCAACACAAACAACAAAGAAGAAAGGCTTCTCAGTGTTAAACTTGAAGGAAACTCATTGAGTATAATTTGTGTGGTTGAAGGGTTGTTCTGTATGGACAATGGACAATGATGCCCGGTGGCACATAAGGTTGTATACATTTATTTATTTATTATTATTGGGTTTCAAAGACAATTGTGCCCTGTGGCACATAAGGTTGTTTACTCTGGCTACTAGTGGCACATAAGCTTTTCTAAGGTTTTGTAAAGCTCATGTAATCAGTGAATTTTCAAGTTTTCCAAGCACTTATTCTTCCAAGTACGTGATTGCACTGCAATCAAACTGTTTGAATGGTTGAATTTATTAGATTATGGAAATTACATAAATATGTAAATATTATTATTCTTAGAATATTTTAGATTAATTGTATTATTATGTACCTTATTTAGGAATATAAGCGTTGCCCATAATTGTATATATGAGGCTCAAGGCAAATCAATAAACTCAGGGAAAATAATATTTCTTACATGGTATTAGAGCAACCCAGGTTTTTATTCCTTTAAACTTTATTCGTCATTTTCTCCTCCCTGGGCAGCCATATCAATGGCAGACAATACAATTGGCCAAAACTACTCTTCTTCCTCTAAATCTCAACCTACTCCTTCCTCCTCTCTTTTACTTCATCCGGCTCTCACCGTTTCTAATATCAATACCTTCATCAAGGTCACACTTGATAATGAAAAAGGCCAATATATTACCTGGTCAGAACTATTCAAAATACATGCCAAAGCATATAAAGTTCTAGACCAAATCATTCCTCCATCCAAGGAGGCAGCGAAATTGGATTCTTCCCCATCTCTTAAAGATACGGATCCCGAACTCTGGTCAAGAGTTGACGCCAATGGATTTACGGCACAATCTCTGAAGATCTTCTGCATACCATTATTGAACGAAATTCTACCGCTGAACTCGCGTGGAACAGGCTAGAGGAGATTTTTTCAAACAATAAAAATTCAAGGGCACTCTACCTGGAACAAGAGTTTTCTGCGGTTCGGATGGAGAAGTTTCCAGATGACTCTTCCTACTGCCAGCATCTAAAAACACTAGCATAACAATTATCAAATGTTGGCGCTCCTGTATCAAACAACAGGTTAGTACTTCGACTTGTCTCCGGTTTAACTGATGCATGTGCTACCGTTGGAACACAAATTCGACACGACGACCCCATTCCCCTTTTTTTACAAAGCCCGATCCATGAATATCTTGGAGGAAACAACGATGGCGAAAAAGGCTGCTAACCCCTACGATCCCACTGCTCTTCACGCGTCTGCCGATGATCAATCTGCCAGAAATTATGGGGAAAATCGAGGAGGTCGCGGTGGCAGAAACAACGGCTTTGTTTCACGCGGTGGCAACTCTAACCGTGGTGGTAGCTCTGGTTCTCGAGGCGGCCACTCCACAAATCGCGGCGACAGAAGAGGCGGTCGCCAATCTCCCGGCAGGGGCAGAGGAAATCGTGGTGGCCGACAAACACAATACCAGCCGCACAACACATTCTGGCAGAACGCTAATTAGCAAAATTGGTCTTATCCACCCATGTGGAATGGGCCATGGCAACCTTGGGCTACTCCACCTTGTCCATATCCTACCACACCAGCCCAATGGCAAAGAAATCAACCACCACTAGCCTCACAATCAATACTTGGACCAAGACCATCCCAAGCTCACTTGGCATCAACAAATTTGGGCCAATCTTCGTATACACCAACTGATATTCAACAGGCTATGCATACTTTCTCAATTGCCCCTCCTGATGATCAATGGTACATGGATACAGGAGCTACATCTCACATGACTTCAAATGGAGGTAACCTTACATCTTATTCTAATATGAATAAAAATAAAATTATTATTGTTGGTAGTGGTGATACAATTCCAATTAGTGGTTGTGGCAATACTTTTTGACCAATTCCTCATCCTCCCTTAAATTTAAATAATGTCTTGCATGTTCCAAAATTGATTAAAATCTAGTCTCCGTAAGAAAATTCACTACTGATAATGATGTCACAGTTGAATTTGATCGTAACGGATTTTCTGTGAAGGATTTTTAGACAGGGATGGACTTAATGAGATGTGACAGCACATGAGACTTATATCCAATTACTACAAGGCCTTATTTTCACACATCAACACCCTCTAATTTTGCCGTGTTATCTCCCCAACTATGGCATAACCGACTAGGGCATCCGGGAGCTCTTATTTTAATTTCTTTACGCAAAAATAATACTATTATTTGCAATAAATTTAGGGGAAATTTTTTTTTTTTTTGTGATTCTTGCTCACTTGGGAAACAAGTTAAATTACCTTTTTATGACTCATTATCCTTTACTTCATTTCCTTTTGATATTGTGCACAGTGAACTATGGTCGTCACCTACCCTAAGTTCGGGTGGGCATCGTTATTATGTTTTTATTTCTTGATGATTTTACAAACTTTTTATGGACGTTTCCAATTGCTAACAAATCTCGGGTATATTCAATCTTTCTATCTTATCGTACTTATATCAAAACCCCATTTGAAAAAGAAATAAAATGTTTTCAATGTGATAATGGAACGGAATATGAATAGGCCCTTTCACAAGCTTTGTAAATTAAATGGTATGAGTTTTCACTTTTCTTGTCCTCATACATCTTCTCAAAATGGAAAGGATGAAAGGAAAATTCAAACAATTAATAATATTACTCGAACTCTTCTTGCCCATGCCTCTCTACCTCCTTCATTCTGGCACCATGCACTACAAATGGCCACGTATTTACTCAACATTCTTCCCAATAAAAAGCTTGCTTATCAAACACCCACAAAAATTCTTTATCAAAAGGATCTCTCTTATTCTCATCTTCGGATTTTTGGATGTTTATGCTATCCATTAATTCCATCCACCTCACGTAAAAAATTGCAAGCCAGATCATCACCTTGTTTTTTTTGGGATATCCGACAAATCATAGAGGTTATAAATGTTACGACTTATCAAGTCGAAAAATAATCATTTCAAGGCATGTAACTTTTGATGAAAACACCTTTCCCTTTTCCAAATTACATGCTACTAATGTCTCCACTTATGAGTTTTTGGATGCAGGCCGGCCTATATCTTAACCCGTACTTATCTCACGGCCTAACTCCAACTCTTGGAGTCGAGGACCAAAATATATCACCTCTTCATTCTCCCATACAATCTCAGCAAAGTTCAGCGCATTTTCCCTCTCATGAGATAACCCCACAACAATACACTTCTCCTACACCCGCAACACCATTAGGAAATAGATCATCACAGTCCAATCTTTCATCTCGGCCCACTGCATGCCTCGCCTCAACCCACACCTTCATCATCTCCAAACTCTCAGCCCACACCACCAACTCCACTAACCACCAATCAATCTACCCAAATAAGTCCACAAATAAATCACACTCATTCTCCTCAAATGACCACAAGAGCGCAACATGGAATTTTTAAACCTAGAAAACTCTTCAATCTTCACACCACTACTACGACCTCCATATCTCCCCTACCTATGAACCCAATACATGCTTTAAAAGACATAATTGGAACATTTCTATGAAGGATGAATACGATGCTTTAATTAAAAATAAGATGTGGGACTTAGTGCCCCGTCCATCCAATGCTAATATTATTCGAAGTTTGTGGATTTTCAGGCATAAAAAGAAATTTGATGGTTAATCTGAGCGGCACAAAGCCGCCTTGTAGGAGATGGTGCAGGACAACAGACTGGCATAGACTGTGGTGAAACTTTTAGTCTGGTGGTGAAATCGACAACCATTCGTACAGTACTTAGCATTGCAATATCTACCACAAGAATCCTTAGTTAGAGTGGGATTTCAACTCAGCACCTTTTGAGTGAGATTTTGAGAAGAGTTGCTCTTTGGAGAGCACAGTACGATGAAAGTTGTAAACTGTGTTGGGGGGGGGGGGGGGGGGGGAATTATTGTCCATCGTTGGCCTCTATGGTAGAATCAGTCGGGGACCTGAGAGGCTGTGGTTTACCCTGCGGCGGATGTCAGCGGTTCGAGTCCGCTTATCTCCAACTCCTGAACTGAGGCGATCCAAAGCTTTATGATAGGACCCAATTTTTCCGATTCGGCGTTTCGATCTATGGTTTCTCATTCATGGACGTTGATAAGATCCATCATTTAGCAGCACCTTAGGATGGCATAGCCTTAAAAGTGAAGGGCGAGGTTCAAATGAGGAAAGGCTTACGGTGGATACCTAGGCACCCAGAGATGAAGAAGGCATAGTAATCGACGAAATGCTTCGGGGAGTTGAAAATAAGCATAGATCTGGAGATTCCCAAATAGGGCAACCTTTCGAACTGCTGCTGAATCCATGGGCAGTCAAGAGACAACCTGGCGAACTGAAACATCTTAGTAGCCAGAGGAAAAGAAAGCAAAATATGAATACGCAACACAATTAAATATGAATATGCAACACAATTAATAATCATAAAATAATATGTTGGACTTTAAACTATAAGCTACCATGTATTAAAAAAATAGATACAAAATGATAGAAACTTAAAACCATAATCTACATGTATTTTTTTTCAACATTTAACACTACAAAATGTGAATATGCAACACAATTAATAAGAGAAATATAGATTATGGTTACAAGGTGCACAATGGATTGCTGAAATCTACCACCTGTGATGCTATTGAGAAATATAGATCACTCATTAGGACAGTGTAATGGTTACAAGGTTGGTTGATCATGTTTTGGAAGCTCAGATTATGTGTGAAACGAATGCAGGAACAAAGGTTTTATTTCCTCTAATGTCGTTAACACCTTCTGATTCAAGATTGCCTTTCAAGTTCCAAAGAAAACAATTTTCTTTTATGCTATCATATGTCATGATAATAAATAAAAGTCAATGGCAAACACTATCACACGTGGGATTTTTTTAGAAGGCCGGTCTTTAATCATGGTCAAATTTACGTAGAAGTCAAGAGTAAGTAAATTTAGGAGATTAAAAATTTTGATATGTGGGGATATTGTACCATCTGTAAGTACGATTAAAAATGTCGTATAGAAAGAAGTTTTCAATAATGGATAATCCAATTGCATCAATAATTTCTAATTAGTAATTAAAAAAAAAATGAAAAAATAAGAACATAGTCTGGGGGCGGATGTAGCCAAGAAGGCGGTGGATTGTGAATCCACTATGCGCGGGTTCAATTCCCGTCGTTCACCCATCGCATATATATGAAAAAAAAAAAAACATAGATAGATATGTTACGATATGGATCTTAATTGTGTTATGTGACATCAATATTATTGGCCGACACGGTCATTGAATTTTTTTCTACTAGCTTGATTGGGGGAGATTCTACGAGTTTTTGCGATCTTGCCCACATGGGTCATTGAATTTTTGTCTACTACCTTGATTGGGGGAGATTCTACGAGTGTCTGCCATCTCCAAAAGCTCCAACTCGTTATCCCTTAGAACCCTGCCAAACAAAGAAGAAAAAAAAGTCAGTCACATACTCACATATAGGAGCATCATCTGTCCAAACTCCATTCACTTTAATCCGGTTCCTATTTCTTTTGATAATAGCGGAGTTGTGGTAAAATCGGGTGTTACAATCACCCACTCAAATCCACTTACATAATGATCATTTTTAATATACTAAAAGTTCATTTTTAATACATTGAATGTTAATTTATTGTGTTGAAGGTCGTTCACTATTTGGTATAATATTTAAAAATGAACTTGCATATTAAAAACAAACATTATACTAAAAATGAACGTTTATCTATGGTCCACATAATCCACATTGCAATGTGCATCATGAAGTAAAACTACGTCGTATCATTTCATTTGCATATACGTTATAGTATTGTTTAGTTTCATTTTTTGCACGTTCAAGTATCATTTTAATTACACTCCAAGATCATTTAAATTTTAATTACATTATCATTTGATAATATATGTTATTACACTTATAACTTTGTTTATTAGTATCATTTTTCACATGCACTAAGGTGAAAAGGCCGCCGGAAATTAAAGTTTGAAAGAAGAGAGGAAGATAGAGAAAGCAAAGGGCGGACTCCATTTGGAGAACTAGAGTTGGTGACACAAACTCCTTCTCCCAACAACAATAATCATGAGTATACATCTATATTTTCCAGTATTCCACCCACTCATGATTGCATTAATAATCTATCATAGGAGAAAGAAATCACAATTACCATTTCATAAGAAACAAAATTTAACAATTGTACGTATAATTTTGAGATGTTTCAAACCTGCAAACCTCTACCTTCCTCCCACTCTTCAATTTCTTTAATTTATTAATTTATGTAAAGAATTTAAGAACTGTGCTCATAAGTTCTTATAGAAAATGTTGTACTGTATATATTATTATATGGTACTCTGTACAAGATTACAAAAATAAAAAAAAATCAATGCCCATCGTCTTCTATTCTATAGGTTGGATTCCCCACTCTAAGGGACCCCCCACCCCTCACACCGTAGTTCGTCTGCACTATAAAAAGATACAAA